GGGTCGAGAAATACATAATATTGTTGCACATTTAAGAGATTAATAATGTTGTTAAAGATGAAGCAACAACATTTCTCCTTGTTTTGTGTTTATTCTTCTGTTCAATATTAATAATTTATTACATATTTTATATTATGTTATCATCATCAACCTGCCCTTATCCCTACGGAGGGTCGGCACAGTATGTACTACTCCTCCATACATTTTACGTCACGTTAAGTTTAAGTAAATTTTTGTAGGTTTTGGATAAACTGTTTATTGTAGCTTCTAAGGCGTTAAAATCATTCTTTTCTACGAAATCCAATTAATATTAATGATAACAAATATTTGTCTTAAGCTTCGATATAAATTCGCGGAAATATTATGCACACATAAAATTAACGTGAGTTTATGTACTATGATTATTACATTCAGCTCGAATAAATTAAAAAAAAACATTACATTAATTTTTAGGTTTTGATTTTATATGAATAAAAAAATCTTAAATCTTTTTATGCAATATTTACATCGATAACCGTGAGTATCCGAATGCTGAAACACCTATTACGATAAAGTATTCTCTTTCCTTCCATTTTTGTTTGAGAACACAGTAAGGTAACAATTTATTTATGTATTTTACAAACTAATATATAAAATACTAAAATATTCACTTAGTGAGCGACAGATCGCGTTCGCGAAATAATACCAATCCCACTCACCCTAATGAAGGGCCCCCGATGGGCTTGAAACTTTGTTCCGCCACCGGACGAACATACCTAAGTGTTTATGTGTATATGTTTATGATAATGTCTCACGAAAGTTTGAATAATTTAATTTATGTATATGTTCTAAATGTTTTTGCGGCGGTCACGGTGAGGAATCACATATTGTAGATGAAAGAACGTTTAGAATGTCCATCGGCCACTCAGTGATTTGTTACGACATATTGATTATCTGTATGTAAGACATGACATACGGGTTATTAACATTATGGTTACATGGTAGAATTGTGATGTTAATGTCAAAAAATAACAAGGGTATTATACATATAAATCGTACTGGCCTAAGATGATCGTGGGATTTTTTTTCAGTTATGTTTAGTTTACATTTCTTCATTTCCTTAGGTCATGAAATTGTATAAGTATTAAAGTAAAAAAGATTCTCGTCCCGATGTCTACAAACATTACGACGTCTAGAAAAATATCTACTTTGTGACTTTATCAGAAATCATTTAAAATACCATAACTATCGAATCTATTTTTCTAACATTTTTTTAACTGCTTACATCTTTACTAAGCACGAGTTTTGCAACATTGAGTTAACACAGAATTGCACCATTTTGACTCTATCTCACGTTTAAATTAGTTGAACGTTAATAATTTCTAATTCGTTTATATCTAGGTAAATGTATGTACGTGTTATTATTTCTATTTTATTACACTTTATACAATAACTTTTTATGTGTATAATATTACGTCTTTTGCACAATTTGTGTTTTTTTTTATAAATTTTCATAACGAATGGAATATTCATGAAAATTTAAACGAATAATAATCATGGAATTATGACAACTTACTTTAAGAATAAACATTGTAAGTGATAATTAAAATGGAATATGATTAAAACATTAGACTGACAAGGATATCAGATCCGATGGGCATAAGTAAAACTAAACCACGACTGCTCATTAGCGCACACTGACAATATCAGAAGTTGTCGTTTCAAAGTTTCATCTAAAGATTTTTCGTACATAAACCAACTGAGCGGTCGTCGGAAATAAAATTAAGACAATGTTACAACGTTAATTACATCTTTTTATTGCTGACTCTGATCTACTTGAGGTTAAGTAATGAGTTAGAATTGCTCCTACATTGTTATTGTGTTTTGTGAATCAACACTATTACATAACTAGTTTGTACATATGTATTAACTGTACTGATATGTAGAAAGATAAGTTTGCTTAACTTTAATATGATTTTAAAATCAAATTATCAAGGCATAATAAACTAGCTGCAAGATAAACCTGCGTGAAGTCATAAATTCTGATATTCAAATTCAAAAAATGAGTAAAAAGTTTTTATGTGTTAACGAAACAAAAAAATGTTTTATATTCTACATTTTTAGTGCAAGAGTCCGGGATTTCATAAACAGCATATCAAAATATCATTAAAATCGGTCCACTGGTTTGGGATAGTAAAGAAGACAAAAACATGTAGATTTATTTTTACGTGCAAAGATGTCCGCGCATTATATTGTGTTATTTCTATGCGGAAATATATAAATATTTAAAACATAGTTATATTTTTTATAAACATTGTATTTATTTTATCAAATTAAATACTAATATTAGCGTTACGGGTGCGCCGTTTTTGCATTGCAACTATATGTAAATATATTGTCGAATATATAATCAATACATAATATTTAACTAATAGAACTAAAGTTCAACGTCTAGAAATAGCCGGTTTTGCTTTAGTGAATAAATAATTGAGGACACATACCGAAGCAGGTAGTGGTTTCTTAGCGGGAAAAACTTTATCGTAAAATTCCTGGCTGTTTGGAACATCTGTCTTGTTTTGCAATTGTCATGTCAATATTATAACACACGAAGAAAAGAGAAGCCTCCCTGGTGAACTACTGATAGATAATAATGAGGGAGTTTACTGAGAACCATGGTGCATTTAGCGACTAATTACAAAAGAATGTAAGCGTATGGTGATATTTATGGACAGTGTTCAACAATAAAGGCACAACCTTTAATGAACTCTCATAACTTTTTTTTTTGTAATTATATTCATGTGTTTAATATAAGATCAATTTAATTAATCATTATGAATTGACAAAGATTATAAGTGTTGGCAAGATGTAGTTATTGTGTGCGCTTCAAAGAACAGTATTGCGATAAGGTGTGACTAAAGAAGATTGATTGTATTCCTTGCAGATCTGTTGAGCCAACTGTTGATGTTACAAATACTTTCTAACCGGTAGCCTTATTTATAATAATATCTCGCACTTCAAAATTTCGTTTTGTTGTATTTAAGCTTCTTGCTATGATTATTTTTAAATGAAATTTAACAATGTTTTTAATTTTATAGTACAGTAACCAAAAAAATTCACTGTAATACGGCATTTTTATCTTCCCTTTTGTTTTCCTTTTCAAAACGGAAACTGCAACGCAGTGAATTTCTATGATAAAATTAACTTATAATATAACAATTTATAGTAATAGTCATGTACAGATTTAATCGGTGAGGCAATTAATTTGAAATACATTTTATAATACCAATAAATAATATTAAAACAACACGTTTGTATGTCTGTAAAAACATTAGGAAATTACATTTATTTGGTCGGTAAACTAAGGTATTACTTAAGCCTGATATACATATTCAGTTTTAACCCTTATTTCGATGGTGTCCAGTGTGACGAACAAGTAATTAAAAAAAAATTTACTGAACTAGATTAGAGAAAACTACGTATGACTTTACTAAAAAAAAGGGTTTTTTTGGTACAAAAAATTTCGTCGAATTAAGGGTTAACTGAAAAATCAAAAATTTAACTATTCGTAACTTACAAATTGAGTTTTGTAGATAACATAAGTAAATTATAATCATTATTTCACAGTTGTTCACTTTATTACAGTTACAAATATAAGTCGATAATGTAAATATTATATAAAGACACATTTAAAATAGTATAAAATATCAGGTTTTTGAAATTGTATGAAATAAATCATCGAATTCGTTTACTCAAATCGAAGGTTCAATACCATATAAAACGATTGGCATTGAAAATGTTTGATTTCCGGCGTCGTCCGACGTACCCGGCAGTTACACAATGTTTTTGCACTGTGAGGAAATAGCGTGTCAATAAATATAGCAACACTGTTAACAGACTTTAGCACTTGTTATGTTATTCCTTGCTCCTACTTCCAATTTCTTTTGGATACTATCTCATTTATATAATGACTAGTTGTCGCCCTCGACTCCTACCGCGCAGAATTTAAAAAAAAAAACGTAATTAGTGTTTTTCCAGACTAAGATCTACATCTCTGCCAAATTTCCGTGTATTCCATTTCGCTTTTCTGGACATAACTTCTAACAAACATCCATCCATCCAAACTTACGAATTTATAAGTAAGAAGTAAGATTTGAGTATTTCTTTTTAATTAATGTAAGCAAATTTTAATCTAAAAATATAATAGCGAGTTATTTGATAACTTAAACTTAAAAATAAGATTTTATTTCAGGTTATAAGCGCTTTAATAGATTATTCTCATGCTTATTAATTAAGTTATGATACTTGAAAAATAATCGTGCGAATAAAAAAGACACCATAAAGCGATATAGTTCAAAGGATCCGAAAGGTAATGCGGTGACATGACGTGATGCCTAAAACAATAATCAGAAGATTGAAAACTAGGGGGATGAATCACGCGGCACACAGAAATATTGTCTTTAACATATAAGAAGGAAATATCTGTTTTTATATTGTAAAGTGTTTTGCAAATAAAGGTCAATATTTAAATAGATCGTAAAATAAGTGTGTTAAATACTGCTTTTGTTTGTAACCTAGTTTTCCAAAACAACTATTCATTGGTTTTCTCAATTAGTTATACTTTTTGAAGGTTTCTCCAAATAATATACGGAGTTGTGTAGAACTTATTATCGCTTACCCTCTATTTTTTTAATATTTTTTCTTATGAGAACATTAAACTTTATATAGGCAGTTTTAGATGTATATGTCTTAAAAGTTAATTGCGTATTTTCCTATTTAATTCGGATTAAAAAATATATATGTCTCCACTCAGTCAGGCATCGTGACTAAAATTATTGTAAAATGAGTTTTATTACTTTGTTTTGTACATGCGATTAAGCTCTTTTTTGTTGTAATTAACACAATTCTTTGCCTACCTTGAACCAATAATATAATCTTGCACTTATATTAAAAATCAGGTTTTATAGCAATGACAAAATGTACTACTGTTAAGATTAGCATAGAATGTTTATAATGCTACCTACCTTTTAAATTTGATTCAATTAACTCCTAATATGGCACTGTTGTTAGCACAATACATCACAAACACTATTCTATACGTTTTTTTCACTTCAATATCGGACACTATGATTTAATCAAGTGATCGTTCGGGATTCATTGTTCGTTTGTCGATTTAGGATCAAGGATTGTAACAAGCGTGTTGTTTCGGCAAAGGCTTGGGGCGGACTGAGCGCTTTATTATTATATGGCGGGAAGGAGCTCGGTTGTCGATTCTCGGTTTATGCACGCTCAAGGTTCCTGCGGCCGCGACTCACGTAGCGCGGCTTATCTGGCGTTGCCTTTGTCGCTCACTGGCAACACTCGTTTGCCTCGTCTCAGGTACACAAATATAAACTTATTTTAATTGATTCTGATAAAACATTGATATTACCAAGAGTATCGAAATGGTATCCTTATAAAACGAGAGTCGTCCGAAAAGAAAATTCGCGAAATCAAAATATTTTTTCAGCGTATCATTGAGCAGGTAAACTCTATGTTATAATCGAATCTGATATATCTAGCAAACTCGGCGTTCCACTTTTTTTTATGTCTCGAGCGTTTTATTTCGCCTCGGTTCCGGATCGCTTACGTGATTATAGCTACAAGTTAGGGCGGTAATGCTTCTGCTATTTTTTAGAGGTTGTAAGTATGTATAATATGTAAGTGATCAGTGAAATAAATAGTGTAAGAAAAATTTATGATGACTAATGGAAAAACAAACGAAAGCCAATTTCATGTTTGAGGCCATGTCTAAGAATTCATAATGTAAGCCGCGTGAGGTCCGCGTGGGGTACTGCACGTACCAGGACTACATGCGAGCGCATGCGCACAACATTTTGTCGTGATGAAATTTTAAATCGTTTTAGAGAACATGATGAACAACATGAAGTTTGTGTTCTGTGAAATTATATCCGCATATTTTCTTCTATTTTAAAATATTATACTAAGGATACAGAACTTTTAAACACTTGAAATTATAAGATAGATAATCCTCAAAAAACTAAATAGTAGATCTCTTTTGCTCTTAAGATCCTAAGATTAAATGGGAATTAAAATTATGTCCTAATATGTTAAATGGTTACAAAAAAGTAAAATTAATTAAAGTAACACCAATCATCACGATTTGACGTGCACGGAGTAAAAAACGTAGCCGGATCTAAAGGTTGTAAGCAAAAAGCAAAATGATGATAACTTTGTATGTATAATATATAAGGTTGTCACATAGCTGCAGGTTTTCCTCGACAGCTTATGTGCAAGTATTGGGTTTTCTTTGAAATAATTTACATAATATGGTTCAGGTATAATTCTGTAATTAATAATCTTACTTCTTACTAATACTATAAATGCGAAAGTTTAGATGGATGGATGGATGTTTTTTCGAAAGTATTTCCAGATAGACTAAATAAACCTCGCTGAAATTTGGCATAGTTGTAGATCATAGTCCGAAAGAACACGTAGGCTACTACTACTCATATTTTTTTTACCCGCGCGAACCGAGTCACGGGCGGCGGCTAGTAAAACATATATATACTCGTAAGTTATGTTCTACGATTTCTACGTTTAACACTTATACTTGTTTATATGTGTTTTTAAGTTAAAAAATATATAAAAACTACTTAAGTGTATGTTAATAAAGTATTGTATATGTCGGAAGTTCCGCCACACACATAACATATTATCTCGATGACCTTTCTATTTAATGTTACTGCGTTCAGACTATGCCGAGTGTAAAATATTAATCTATAGTCACTTCCTTTAATCAGAAGGTCGTCGTGAGATTTTCAACTAATTGAGCGGTCGTGGATCGTGTAATTTTAGCACACGATTTGATATGTCGATTGGAATATTATTCAAGGCGCAACAATTTTTTTAACATTATTTTGGATTTTAATGCTAGCGATGAAGAACTGTTTGAAAAAAATTGAACCGAATTTAAAAAAAAATATATTTGTGCAGTTACAAAAACTTGAAATACAAATAATTAATATCAAGTGTGATATTTTCCGGTAAATGTGATAAATAAATACAAGCTGTATTCAGTTCATTTAATAAAAATAAGAGAATAAATAATCATTCTAGTGATAAGATATTATATTTATTCTGTCAGTTGTACAAGCCATTTAGGATATATGTAATTAATGTTTCCGGATTAAAATATCAAATAATCGAATATCTTAACTCATACCAAATAAAACAAAAATCGGTCAGGAAATATTCATTTAATCGCAACACATTGCTGACGCAATTGTTAAGATACATGTTCACTGACAATCGTCTGATAGTGATCAGTTAAAACAGCCGTGTCACTGCATGTATTGTTTAAAAGTAGGTGAATATTGAGATTGAAAAAATATACTGTAGTATACAAACTATAAGTACATGAATGTGCCAGGTCCATTTTGCACTTCCTTTTTTCCACTGGTTTTTTCCCGCAATCCCCTGACAAATGTGGGTCAAAGACGACCTTAATATAATTTTTACTTCTTAATGTTGCGGTTTTAGTATAATACTAATGCAATATTTATTGAGGAGAAGATGGATAAATCGTGTGAAATGTGGCTTGTTTAAGAAGGAAGACGACTGAAATGACTAATGGTATCGATATGGATGCCAAAAAAATAAAAGACGATCTCAGATAGAATAGTATAAATACAGAGTGTTAAGTAATTTCTTTAAAGTCATCTCTCACGCAGATAAAGTCGCAGTTATTTTTGCTTTCTGCTTCTACATCTTTACGAAATAGAGTTAATGCTGGGAAATGATTAAGTATTGACATTTAACGAATGAATGAGTAATGTCTCTTTTGGTAGAAGGAAAATAAATCTATGTACGTAATTAGTACATATTCATTTACTAACTTTAGAATAATTTTAGTATGACAAACTATTAGTTGGTGTCACGAAAATTGTTACTAATAAAACTTTCGAATACTATTAAATTTCTATCGTTTAGTTGCGATCTGATAATTATGTTGTAATAGCATGTTATAACAAATACTTTCATTCTCTCTTGAATCGTAAATAGAAATACGTAAAAAATCGTAAATAATAGCATGAGTATATTGTGTATTATAAACATTTAATAAGGAAGCAATATCCTAACCTACATTAAACATGACGTCTCGAGTGTAGAGGTTGGGATTAAACGTCCATCAATAACGTAAAAGAATACATTATGGTTAAAAGAAATTTTAACGCATCTCCGATATCATATTGATTGTCACTTGACATTTATTTTATCGCCATAAATCATGTACCAATTAATATGTACATATGTCAATCGAAACACATTTTTTATTTACATAATGGACTATACAATAAACACATAGTGATATGTTTTACGCAAGTTTTAAAATGTTTAGAATAGGTCGTCCCACCAACGCTAAAGTTTTGAAAGAATTACATTTAATCTAAAAAGCTTAATTATGTCGTAAAATTGTTGAAAATTGGTTCAGTTTACGATGAGATTAATATTTATAAGCAATTTAACAAGAATTCCAAACATCTAAAAACGTTAAACCTCTGCGTAATACTTAAAAGTTTAAAGTGATAAAAAGATAAACTACGACAGGCAACATTGCTTTGAAAATAAGTAACATCATTATAAACTTAACTATTACATGCGTGTAATAAAAACCGACTAAAGGTCATTCCGTACATTAAGAGGTTTAAATGAACTCAAACAAACTTAAAGCCATGACCTTAAACACACAGAAGCAGTAAATGTTACTTTAACTTACATGTTTTTTATTATAGATTGAAATGTTTTAAATCTTGACAGTTAATAAGTAAACGTTAGTATTATTTATCTTATTAATAATATAAATGAAAAAGTATAGATAAATGAGTGTATGGATGGATGATGTTAGAAGGAAGATGCCTCCAGAATGGTTCAATCGATGTCATTAAATTCGAAATAGTCTAAAAAAACTCATAAGCAATTAATTAAGTTATATTTCCCGCGGACGTAGTCGCGAGCGACAACTAGTATGTTATAACAATAATAAATAAGATAAAACATAAAGGGAAACCACAAGAACTTTGTTTTAAATATGTATAAAGTTAATAAAAAACCTATCATTTGCGACAGAAAACATAAATATCAATTATGTATTAGCAAGAGATGTTTAATATAACGAAGAAGAGCTAAGCTAGTAAGTAGATTTAAACTTAATTTACAAAAAAAAGTTCTATGTTATAAAACTTTAAATGCCTTTTTTTATTTAACACGCTACTCGTAGTTTTAACGCAAATCTGTTTACATTAAATATCTTTGTTTTTAAACGAAACTGTCAGATATGACAGTTGTAACAGATTTTTTTAATTACGTCGTTAACATTTATAGTTTTCATAATTAGTAATTTAAAAAAAGAAAACAGCAACAAACAAGTGGTATTTGGACTGTAAATTAATTGTGGTCATTCGTTCATATTCAGCGTTTCACTTCGGGTTTTTCCACAGGATGCGGAGATGTGGAGGGCGGGTGAGTAATTTAATACTTCATTGTTGTTACTTTGAATAAATCCTGGTTTATCATTTGGAAAATCCAGGTCTGATAAAGACATGTTATAGCTTTAATACTAGAGAGTGATGAGTAGTATATGAAGCAAAGTTTGTATTCATGATTTTTATCAATGTAACAGTATATTACAGTCACAATATTCTGCGAAATAGCTCTAAAATATCAAGATTAAAAAATCACGCTGTATTTTAAAAGTGTTGATTTGTTATCACGGTTGATTCAAAGAGATTTATCTTGAGTTTCTGATACCAAAATCTACGTTTAAAACATATTGTTATCCCTGTTTTGTTAAAGATAATGACTGGGATGACGATATGTTTTATACAGAGATTTTGATCTCGGAAACTAACGGTTACGTATGAGTATACGACAAACACGTACGACGCGAAGAAATTTAAAAACGAGTATTGACCTGAGGGTACGTGAACTATGCATTTCTTCTTTTATATTCTTATACAATAAAAAATCATCTTAGGAAACAATTTAAATCTTTCTTAAGCTTTACAAATTAAAATTCAGCATTATAAACTTTTTTCTTATACCCATAGATGACATGATAAATGTTTTAAATTATGCTTCAAATAATTGCTTCATTGAAATTAATTTAATATAGTGGTAAAGAAAATAATATTGTTACCTTTTAATCTACTACGTGCTTGTTCATGATTACATTTAAATGAAGTGTCAATTTAAAGACGTCGGTGGGTAAATTGTGATCGCTAGCTACTCGCTGAGTCACCGCTGCCGAGGCTGATTGTGAAATCTCTCAATACATTAACAACAATCAGTAGTCAACGAAGTATAC